TCACCAGATTCGTAAAATTTTCTCTTCCAAGTTGATTCATATGCCAAACAAGGTCCATGATTCTCTCTCGAAGTCCCCTCACACAAACAATTGAGCACATTGAACTATTTTAAAAAGGGAAAGTGCAATATGATACATATAACATACCAAATTAATAAAAAGGGTGATGAGCTATTTTTCCACTCATGTGTGTCATTATCACTTGAACGGAATAAAGGGTCATCTCAACCATCCGCAGAAATATGGACAGTGGAGATGGCATATTATATTGTGCGTTTTTTCACTCGTGTACCTTTTTTTCAAGGTCACGTTGAACTTCGAATAAGTTTTTTTCTAGCATTAGAAATCTACCATTTAAGTTCTCAAGGAAAAAGATTATATAAGATTTTAACCTTATTTTTAGAAATAAGGTTTTAGTAATCTACAACGTCTATTTTATTTGAACAGTGTACATTCATATTATCTCAAAAGACATACTACTTTTTGACATTATCTTAAAAGACGTTTCAAATCTATATTGTTTAACTAAAAAAGATGGTATGGAACGCTGCAACCTTTATTCTACAAGTTAGGTTACAACCACACTCGATTAGTATTGCCTTAGTCATCATTGCTTTTGGAATATGCATGTTTAATAATAAAACTTTTTTTTTTTGGGAAATTATTGTAAATATATCTTAATTGGAAAAAACCCCAAACTTTCGTTTACCTCGAGTACATCCTTTTTCCTCATTTTCGGCTTTTTTTGGACCAAAATGACCTTCACGGCACTCTTACTACTGTAATACATATCATTTTATACAGTATTTAAAATACCATAGTAACTTCCAGTAGCCATGACTATGAAGTCAATTACGGTACTTTAAGTACCGTAAAAACTAAAACCCACTATATGAGATTTTAAGTACCATAAAAACTAACCCATCTTATACGGCACTTAAAATGCCATAAATCCTTTTATCATATTTATCTCTTTCATCTCTAATTCTTTTTATGTTTATCTCTTATTTCTCTCTAATTCTTTTTAATATTTATCTCTTTTTTCACTCTTTAATTCTTTTTTATCTCTTCTTTCTCTCTCTCTACAATCTCATCATCATTTCTTTAGAAAGATCATGTCCTCTGTTTTGCATAGCCGAAGTCAATGTTTGATTACTCTATTTAATGAAACAATGATGAGATTGTAGAGAGAGAAAGAAGAGATAAAAAAGAATTTGAGAGATAAAGAAGAGATAAAAAAGAATTTGAGAGATAAAGAAGAGATAAAAAAGAATTTGAGAGATAAAGAAGAGATAAATATTTTAAAAAATGAGAGAGAGATATAATAGATAAATATAAAAAGAATTAGAGAAGAAAGAGATAGACATAATGAAAAAAGAGTTTCGGCATTTTAAGTGCCGTATAACATGGCCTCAGTATTACGTTACTAAAAGTAACGTATAAAATTCCTTAAGTATTACGGTACTTCAAGTACCATATAACATGCACTAACTATTACGATAATACGACTACCGTGAAGGTCATTTTGTAAAAAAAAAAAACAGAAAATGAGGAAAAAGGGTGCACACGAGATAAACAAAAGTTTGAATTTTTTTTTCTAATTAAGCTTAAATTAAGGTATATTTGTGATAATTTCCCTTTTTTTTTCTTTGGTAAATATCTTCCTATGAATAAGCTCTTATGAAGAAAAGGTAAGCAAACTTGGTTTATTTGGGACAAACTTCATGAAACCTTGACCTCCCTTGGAAACTTCACCCAGGGATAAATGATTTAAAAAAGCAAGACGGAGTGATTTAAATGAGAAGATTGCTACAACAACATGCTTTTGAAATAAATACTTTTTGAACTGGCAAGTGTTCTACTTCTACTATAACTTATAACAACTTTATCGTCAAAGTCTTTTTTCATCTAATTCGAATCAGTTACACTATGACATATATAACATATGAGTTTCAATTTGAAAATTTTGGGGGACTTTAATGAAGTGTAAATTGGAGGGAAGCTGGCTACTTTCCACAACGGGTGGAGGATCCAAAGTAAACCAACAAAATACTTAATTATCTAAATATGAATGCTTTTGCTACTAATAGTAAAGTAATCGTTTGCACAACATTAGCTTAAAGCATACAACCCGACCAAAATCAAATACCAACTCTTAACACTAAAAATAAAAAAAATAAAATAAAAGCCAAGTGATATTATGCTCTCGAATGAGCATACTGTCCATTCACTCCCTCATGTGAAATCTCAAATTTTGAGGAGGTAATCTCTTCAACCCATAAGCTAATCTCAATAGAAAAAGGGAAAATATACAATGAGACCGTTTATCATTGGTACAAGGTGGTCACAATTAATCTTGACCATTGGATGTCAAATTAGATGGCTACATTTATTCCATTGACCAAGTTCAAACTCCAAAACAATTTTTTTCGAACTTTATGACACACCCAAGCTATCAGATTTCACATCGGATAGTTGTAAATAATTGTGATGTCTTTGTATAAAAAATAAATAGTCTCATTATATACAATCCCATAGAAAAATTACCATAGTGAGCTGTTTATGAGCTTGAAAAACCTAATGCCTCGAAATTGAACAAAGGCCGTCCAAAATTCATAAGAAATCGAAGTATGGAAAAACTCAAAATTCAAATTTTTATTTGAAAATAATAACCTAGTGATTACTACTTGGTTTTCAAGAATTTGATTCAATAAATTCTCCCAAATGGGTTCTCTTCCCGAGGAGTAGATATACACTATACTCCCACATGAGCATAGTGTACACGCTCCCAATAAAGTAACCAACCAACACTAATATGAAATCAAGAAGATTGCTTTATTAATGGGGTTGGCGACATAATAATTGTGGTGTGTTCCATGGGCCATGGGGGATATTGGCATAAAGCAAGCCTGGAGCTTTCCTATCTTATCCTAATTATGACAACTAACGCATGCCGGGAGATACACGTGTGCTTTCCTATCCACGTGTGTTGAAAGTAAGGTTCTAAAAGAGAGAAATAGGGAGAGAAAGAGCCTTCATGCTTGCATGTTTCAAATGTTCTTTAAATACAAAAAATAAAAAATTTATTGAAATATATTTAATAGTTGAACTATTTAACTTTTTATTTTAGATGTATTTTTATAAATTTTAATACCTATTTTAATGTATCATTTTGCTCTATCAAACTCTTGATAAAGTGAAATTGTGGATTAAGATTCGTACAGCCGACTTCAAATAAGTTGAGAAAAGACAGTGAAGATGATGTTTTGATGGGCTACTTGAATTTTGATCAAAATAATGATGTGCAATTGGAAATTAGGTTAAAACGCACGAGTAAAATGATAAAATTAGTCCAAATCACATATATAGTTTGGTAAATTTCCCTTTAAATTCCAAACAAAATAAAGAGGGAGACATGGGGTGTGAGAGGCACAAGAAAATAATTCAAGCACTATAGTGCTGTGCTCTCCCTCACAATAAAATAGCGCAATCACATTTCTTATCATTATGTACCGATAGAAAAAAAAAAGAAAAAGTCAAAAAAAAAGAGACGAAATTTAAAAAAATGGTGGAATCTTATAAAATCCCATTTAAAATTGGCCAAATAATTCTTGTTTTTTTGTTTGGAAGGAAAAATATTTCCAACGTAGAAGTATTTTTAGGACTTCAAACAAATGTTTTGAGCTGCAACCCCTTTAACCAAGGAATTAACTTAAAAATCTAATTTTTGGATGCTTAGATATTTGAAACTCAAAATCTATTTTTTTAGGAAATAATCATTATGCATCTCAATATTTTGAGGATAAAAACTTATGTAAGGTGTCAACCTTACACTATTGAAGTAAGATACACTATTGAAGTACGATATACCTCAAAAATATTCTAGAAGTGAGTGTTCGTTCCAATGTAGAAAAATGTTACACTCGATCATCTCGACCTCGAGATTGATAGATGTGATAAACAAAAGAATTTCGAGTCTTAAAAATAATTCATGTTTGGACAAGTTATCTGGATTGTTTATTTCCAAGATTTTCAAATATTTATAGCTTTTAGATCTGTACCATTTGTTAAATTTTACTAAACCTAGATCTCTAGGCGTAAATTAGAGATGCGCCTTATTTATATGGTATAAGAAGGATGGCATATTTTTAATAAAAAACCCCCCAAAGTACCTCGTTGCCTAAGGGAGCAAATAAACAATATGCTTCCATGAGAGTATAGTGTACAAGGTCCTAACTGATATTTTATCTAGGGATGCATTTTCAAACAGGCCTAGGCTTTATAAAAAGTTGAAATCAAAGTAAAGCCTCACTTTGAATCCTCATTTGAAAAGCACTATAGGCATCATAAATATCCATGATGACTTTAAAATCAATTTTCAACATGGATTATGAAATTTGAAACTAAAAAACTGATACAAATTTTCGGATCCTTAAGAACTTATTTCTAAGGCGAATTAGACGGTTCGGACAATATACTACAATATACACTACTTTTAATGCCTGATATCCATTTTTTTTTTACAACCACACAGTCAAGGCCAAGGTGATTGATTTGAAAGGTTTCTGACATCGTAACTATAATTTTTTTATTAATTTTGAGGTGAGGCTTTATTTTTTTATTTTTTATTTTTTTATTTTTTATTTTTTTTATTTTTATAGGAGTGCAATGTTATCATAACATCTTCCTTTATTCTATATTTCCTCAGCAAAAATTCCAAGATAAAATGTCTGAAGGAGAGTGTCCACGCCTAAAATGGAAGAGAGAGACTACCCAAATGAATAAAAATAAAGCAACTGTTAAAAAGGTAAAAAGCCGTTAAGAGTCTTTAGAAAAAGGAAAGGAGTGGGTGGGAAACGTTATAAATTTGAAAATTTTACCGTTTACGGTTTGCGTAAAAATTGGAAGGACACGCTTGAAATTCGCACTTTCTTTATGGACAATATCGAGACATTATCCTATTTCTCTTTCGTTTAATATCACAGTGAATCGGCATTGACTTAGAATTGGAGGAAAACAATTTAAAACCCTTCTCCGGTCTCTCGCACCAGCGAGAAAACCTAGGGCTTTTATGAATCTGAAATTTGGGGTTTTCTCAGAGGCGAAATTTAGGGTTTTTTTGATCGTCTTCATCATCATTTCGAAGAGAAATCAGTATTGAATTTAAGGTTTTTATTTGGCTTCTTGATGATGGTTTCTTTCGTTGGTGCATTTCCACTTTTGTGCTGCTTTGAAGGGTTTTTTTTCAGCGCTTGATTTGTTGGTTTGAGGTTTCTGAAATTCGGGTTTGGATTAGTTTAGTGGACAATTATGATGATTGGATCTCGATCCAGTGAGAAAGGGTTCTTTTTTTTTTCCTTGGATTTTTTGTTGTTGATTTGAATTTTCACGATGGGTTATCTGGATGGCGTTTGTCACCTAGGGTTTAGGGTTTTGATGTATTCATGGATATTTCAATGGCATTTGTTCTGATCTTGACCGCATGAGGGAGAGTGAGATTCATTAGATGTCGTATTTATTTTTGCATTTCTTTTTTTTGGAATTTCTTTTGTTTATTATGCTTATTGTTAATTTGGATTTTTGGGATATTTTAAAACAATGGCGAGTCTTCAATAGTGCATCTAATATTTATGCATGAACCAGATGGAAACTATTTGGTACATTTTTTAACCGTACTAGTAATATCCACAATCTAATTGCATGAATTGTTTCATGTGTATGCATAGAAGCTTCGAATTGTTCCACAGGGATTTGTGTGAAATTTTCCTCGGTGTTAGTTAGAATAATGGAATTTTTAAATATGATGAATTCTTGTCTTGTTCATCGAGAATACCTTACTGATTTCTTTCAAATTTTCCATTCGTTCAAGTTCTAAGCTTAGTCTTGTAATTGATCAAATCACGAATAGCTTTTGGGGGGGGGAAATATAGATTCGAGTGCACTAATAGTTGGGTGTCTGTGTTTGATGTAATTTTTTTTTTATGTCAATTTTGTTGAATTCTTCTATCTTATTAGCCATATTATCTATTTAATGTCCAAGAAGTACTTATCGCCTTTTGCACCTTCTTTTTCTCCTTCGGTTCTATGAATTACTACAGCATTCTCATCATGATAACTATGTTTTAATTTCTTAGTATGATATACCATATGCTTGAAGGGTCACATTCCCTTTAGGATCCATAATAGATATCAATATCCTAGTAACCTTCAAACCCATCCTCATTCATTTTCAGAAACTCCTATCATTAGAAGTAACATCATGTCTAACTAGCACCCACCAACGGCACTGTACTTTCAGTATCTTCCATTGCAATCACTTTTGCTCATGATCACCTGTTTTTTCTTAGAAATAGCAAAAACCACACATTATTTTTGTAATAATCAAACAGCATTCAATTTTTGTACTAGGACTGTTGTGTCTTTTATTTGGTAGATCGTGTCATGAAGAATGATTGTTCTGATTTCAGATTTAATATCTCTTATTGGCTCCTTAGGAATATGAAAAAACTATTTGTGACATATGTTGGAAATCCTTTATTTTATTCCTTCTTTTTCCATTTGCTTCCTCACTGATTTAATCTTTGTATATTATTTAAAAGTAGAATTTATAAAAGTTTTTATATGTTCCTTTTGTGGCGTAGTTTTCCTTTTTGGCTTTAGATATATTTGGCTAATATTCCATAATTATGATTTAAGTGGTCCTTTGCTTTTGCTGGGTAGGTTGGAGATATTGCCAAGCAATAAACTGAAGTAGGCTGAAGGAGAAATGTTTGTGCAGTAATTGGTTGAGGAGCTAGTGACAATTGTGGTTAAAAAATAAACAACCATGGCTCCTGGGGGCAGCATTTGTAAGGAAGTACCAGAATCTCACTCTTTGGATTATGATATATCCACCACAAGCAGCGAGGCTGAAGGTGTTCAGTACCCAAAAGCTTCCCCTGTGCCCACTGGTAAAGCAGGTTTATCTTCAACTAATGGTGTGCACGAGCTTCTCGAGTGCCCTGTCTGCACAAACTCTATGTACCCTCCAATTCATCAGGTACAATTCTGAGTTCCTTGGGGTCCTTCAGAAACTGATTCACATGTTTTTGAAAATTGGCTTTGATTGTATTTAGGTTTGAAATTTGTGATTTGGGTCCAAGTTCTAGCCAAAATTGTTGGAGAAAGTAAAGGCGATTATAAATAGGAATAAACCCCAAAATTTAATTTGGCCAGAATTTTAACTTTTGATTTTGACAAAGTTTCAAGAACCTGGACTTATTTCACCCGATATTGAAGGAACTTTTGATTTTGACAGAAGTTTCAAAAAAACCTGGAATTATTTTGCCCAATATTTAAGGAATGACAACCTATATACTTGTCACGTGCCCGTCATTATACTTCTTTGATCTTGCCTCCAACATTCCAATCTTAGGCTAATCCACTCCATATCGACTTTCCAAAAAAAAGAAAGTGGCATTGGACGATCTGTAAATGTCTTATGCTCTATGCTGGGATGTACTAGTGATTTTTCCTATTAAGGCATTATACTTTCGCTATTCGCTGAAGGTTCGCCTACTTTCCTCTCATTTTTTTTGAGAAGAAAATATCAAGCCTAGTTTCCTCTCATTGGAGATACATGATCTCTTTTACTTTCTTCTTGTGATGCCAAAGTTTTCCCAAGGTTATTCTTGTTATATCTTCTTCTTCTGATCTCTTTTTCTTTCTTCTTGTGATGCGAAAGTTTTCCCAAGGTTATTCTTGTTATGTCTCCTTCTCCTTCTTCTTCCTCTTCTTTTTTTTCATCTTATTCTTCTCCTTCTCCTCCTCCTCCTCCTTTTAGTCATTCCTTTCCTTTATGGATAAGTTGTGATTTGAACCTGTTCAGGGGGGCTGTGTTATTTGCAGTCCAATCACCAACTCAACAGGCCGTACTCCCATCGCTGAGTTCTTTTTGTAGAGCTTTCTCATATTGATGTGGTTGACATTATTCTTGTATGCTGGTACTTTTTTTGTCATGGTTTCTTTATGCTTGAACATAATCTGGTTTACTTCAGGAAAAAAAAAATGGAAAGAGGGTTAAAAAATAGTGTCATTTCTCAAGAAAACCAGCAAAATTAGAATATGGGGGGGAAAAAAGAAAAAAGAAAAATCTGATGCCTTTTTTTTTTCTAATTTATGTTCTGCTAGACTAATCTTTCTTCAAAATCAGGCAATTTCCTTTACCTTTAATAAGTTTGTTGCATATTTCTTTATTTCTGTTTATTTTCTCTGGAACTTTAATACAAAAGAAATCAATTACTTGACAATCTCTCTCGCTCCCCCCACGCCGGACTAGCATTCCATTCGTTTAATGAATTCGTGACCCACTTTTCCATTTCCTCTAGCCTCTTTAACACAAAATTTCCCCCAATCTCCAACATTTGCAGTGCCCAAATGGCCATACCCTGTGCTCTAACTGCAAGCTCAGGGTCCACAACCGTTGTCCCACCTGTCGATACGAACTGGGCAACATAAGGTGCTTAGCTCTCGAGAAAGTTGCAGAGTCCCTTGAGCTCCCCTGCAGATATCAGAGCCATGGGTGCCAAGACATATTCCCTTATTATAGCAAGCTTAAACATGAACAACAATGCAGGTTCAGGCCTTACAATTGCCCATATGCAGGCTCAGAGTGCCCAGTAACTGGTGATATCCCCACCCTTGTTACTCACCTCAAGAATGACCATAAGGTGGATATGCATGATGGATCTACTTTCAACCATCGATATGTTAAGTCCAACCCACAGGAGGTCGAGAATGCAACATGGATGCTTACTGTAAGTGGTTTGATGCTTGACATGTATGTACGTTTGCATGTATGGTCTTTATGCAATATCTGCTGAATACTGCTCATCCCATGTCCGCACACACACACATGCAGCCACACATGCACACACACACACACTGAGAGAGAGAGAGAGAGAGAGAGCACTGTTGGAAACTTGTCAGAGCAGCTGGCAGCCTAATGCTTATATCTCAGATTATTACTTGGATGGAGTTTTGCTTTGGATCTGAGAAGTCCCTTTTCACTACTGAAGGTTTTTCATATTTTTCTTTTGTTTGTTCTTTGTTTTACCTTCGCGCTACCTGTTTATGCTGACGCTCAATTAGAATTCCTCCGTCGCTCCTCTTGTAAGTCATTGTCTTTTTTTTTTTTTGATTTTCTCCCGCATGGACAATAATTTCTTGCTCCTGAACCCTCCTCTATCTCTTGAACCCTTCTTACCAGTTCTCTTCTAACCTCTCTCTCTTTCTCTCTCCCCTTCTTAGTGTGTATGTGTGTACGTGTGTGTACGCGCGGGGGTGTGTTTTCAGTAAGCGATTCTAAGTCCTTAAATTTTCTCCTAGTTCTCGCTCCAAAACTTCATACAAAGACACGCACACTATAGAAGCTTTTGCCAGGAACCCTCGTTCCCAAGCTCTCATTCTCATATTGCACACTCACTCTTTCTTTAAAAGTTCTCACTTTTCACTGAAGTTCTCTCTCCTCTCTCTCTCACTCTCTGACATTTCCATTCCACGGTAACTCACAGGTCTTCAATTGTTTTGGGCAACAATTCTGCCTGCACTTCGAGGCCTTTCAGCTGGGGATGGCCCCCGTATACATGGCCTTCCTCCGCTTTATGGGTGATGACAACGAAGCCAAAAACTTCAGTTATAGCCTAGAAGTGGGTGGCAATGGCCGGAAGCTCATATGGCAAGGCATCCCAAGAAGCATAAGAGATAGCCATCGAAAGGTTCGAGATAGCCACGATGGCCTCGTAATCCAAAGAAACATGGCACTCTTCTTCTCCGGTGGAGATAGGCAAGAGCTAAAGCTAAGAGTAACCGGTCGGATTTGGAAAGAGCAATGATACAATCTTGCTAGTGGTTGGCTGGGGTCTAGCAGCGATGGTTGGAATTTGGGTGCTTCTCCTATGTTAGCAAAAATTGACTGCAAGTGAAGTGCTTTGGAGGCGTATCCAAAGAGGGTTGGTGGTTTAGGAGTGAATTTGTTTGGGAGTACAAGAGAAGAGAGAAATATCTGTTCAGTGAATGATTTATTGTACTTTGAATGTATGGATATTTGATGGCTGAAGAATGGAAAAGATGGGAAATCTTGGTAGTCGGTGTTTCTCCCGACTGAGAGAGAGGAAAAAGGGTGTATCGGGGCCCTATAACTGTGGAAAAGATAAGAAAGGTAATGTTCTGTGTGTTGAGAGAGAGCGAGAGACTGAGACTATCAAGTGACATTGTTGTGTCCTTAAACCATTTGCGGATAGGGCCGGCAACGGGCCCGGGCAGCCTGGCCCTAGCCCTCTGACTGCCGGCCTTGGCCCCATCAGGGCTGGCTGGGCCCGGCACTCGGGCTGCATTTTATTGCCCAGGCCCTAGTTTTATCGCCCGGTCCACTGCCAGCCCTATTTGTGTAATGCTTACGGCCCCTTGATGATGATGCCGACTCAGACCGTGTATATGCAGCCCCACTTAAACCTATCTTAGAAGTTGACTCTTTTATCCAAAATTTTAAGGATTCATGATCTAGGTTAAGATGATCATAAATATGAAAATAAAATAAATTTTTAATATTTAAAATGTGACTTTTCTTATAGAAAATTTCTACACCGTCTAACTTCATTTGGGCCTTTTGAGTTTTCTACGATCTCTACGATACCTGGCTCGTGAAATCTTATTTAACAAAATATTTACATATACAAGTCTGAATGATAAATGTGGGTAATTTTGGTTAAGCATGAGCGCTTAACCCTATTCGAACTTGTATCTCATGGACGGTGATGAGTCTCATCATCAAAATTATCCAAAGATCACGAGCATTATGGTGTATTTTCTCCTTTGAGCCCATTAATGGTATGGTGCCATGTGTCTTAGCTGAAGAGCATCCATCCAACGCCAGCTCAGTCCGACGCATCCATGTCCATTGAGTTCTTGGTCAGTCTGTTCTGACCTGGCCCAATCGGTCCACATTATGGTAAATCGACTCATTGCGTAGGGTTGCAACCTTTAAACAATCCAATTAAGGCGTGCCTCTAAATTTTATCATAAATATAGTTTTGATATAAAAAATTCTTAAGATGGTTTGAGAATCTATTTTTATATCTAACTATAATGTTTTAAACTTTAAAAATAGTTTAAATAAAGTAGATCTATAATAAACACATGAGAATTTTGAAAATGAATAGTCCAGATAATGTGTTTCAAGATACACTATTTTATCGATTCGAAATTTTTTTTTTTTTTCTCTTTTCATATTCCTACATCTTTATGTCGAGATGATCAATTAGAAGATTTTCCAATATCCAAACAATCTTTTATGATAGTTTTTTGAGGTGTTTTCAAAATATGAAAACCTTAAAGAGGATATTGGGCTCCATCAGAGACTCATTGAAAAACAGATACTTACCTGTCATTTGATCACCAAACCCAGAATCATGTATGCAGTTGGTTAAGTGAGACAATTTACACAGGCAACTCAGCCCCCCGATGGGTAAACAATAACTCAATACCTTGATAATTGAAATATGCTCCAGGTATATGTATTCGTATGTCACAGGCTACTAGTCTCGATGATGTTGGATATGCATTTGTTAATTAGGCAGGTTCAAGTTGGCAGGTTGTATGCTACAATATCCATACATTTATCCGTGGAAACATTGCCGGATGGAAGATTATGAAGAAGAATATAGACCTTCTTCAACTGCGCAAACTCATCTCGAATGAGTTATAACAAATCATCATTAATAAACAGAAAAAGTTTACATAAAGTTAGACACCTGAAATTGTAGAGAATTAAGGTGCACTTCTAAAATCCTTCAAAAAAAGTTACTTTGATGTTGGAAAACCATCCAATTGATCATATTGATATCGGGATGTATAGATATGGAGAAAAAAGAGATTTCAAGTCCTAAATATAGTACATCTCTGGACCATCTATTTTCAATATTTTCATGCGTTTATAGATCTCGTCGATTTTGAAACATTTTTAGAGTTTAAAATATTATAATTAGCGATAAAAATAGATTCTCGCGCAATCTTAAGAATTTTCAACACCAAAATTGCATCTCATGCTAAAGTTTGGGGTTGCACCATTAATTTGATTATTTAAAGTTGCAACCTTATGCAAACCACACCCTTAATACATGAGACTGATTTTCTTCTTCTTCGACATATCGGAACTATTGTTTCCATATTAATACATGAGATCTTATCAATCTCTTTTTTTGAGAAACAGTAACAATTATGAGCTTATCAATCTCTTGCTGCTTATAAGCTGGGAAATCGATAGCTGAATGGACCTCACTTCCTCTCTCCTCTGCAGGCTCTCACCCTCATCTGTGAGAACCAGAAACATATGCAAATTGAAACATTCAAGAAAACATATGCAAAGAGCTAAGGGTTTGGTACATTCCCAAGTATATGTGTACATGAAATCAAAAGAAACATGAAGGTTTCATGAGAAAAGGAGAAGGGTTTACTCCGTCGGACTACACTTGATACAAGCCGCTACCAACGCAGGAACCTTTTCTTCTTCTTCTTCTTGATCTTCCTCTCTCTCTCTCTCTCTTTGATGTCCAGCCCTTGAAGCCCCTCAACACAAGCCCTTCCCTCCTCAGAACCAGGTAGACCAGGCTCTAACAAATCATCACCATCTTCGACCTCAACAGTATTACTTCCTATCAATAGTGAATCATGACCTGAATCTTGTTCAGGGACAATGGGGATCCTATTGCCACATGACTTAGGGTTAGGGTTTCCTTCTTCTTCGTCAAGAGGGACATCCTGAAGAGAATCAGGAACATCTTGTCCATCATCAGAAGGATCAATGGCCTGTGATTTGAGTGAATCAGCTGCTTTCGCGAAGGCGAGCTTGATGGATTCAAGAGAGAGGGCGCAGTCCTCGAGCCCTGCGTCTTCAAGCCTTGGTGGTGCCATTTTCAGTATCACTGACTCCTCCTCCCTTTCCATAATCTCTCTCAGATGACGGTCCTCCGTTCTCTCTTGCAGGTATGATCTGCCCTCTAATGGTGGAAATAATTTACATGAGGTATCAACCTTACTCAATTGAAATAAGGTGCACCTCAATAATCATCAAGGGGAGTGTTTTAATCTTTGAATTCCTTATTGTGAAGAAATTTTTTTTGGACCGTCTATTTGCTCGATATATACTATTTTTTCAGAGTTTGAATTTTACAATTGAAGATGAAAAAAAGATTTTCGTACCATCTCTAGGCAAAATTTAGTGGTCGTCTTACTTCTATAGTATAAAAACTGCACCTTATATAACCCTCACCCCATACATTTTTTAAGACATTAATATTAAATAAATGACTTGTTCTTTAGTATAGGAAGAGGTTTATACAAGGTGCCCACCTTTTACTATAAAAGTAAGACACATCTCTAAATTTTATCGGAGGAGATAGTTTTGGTGTTGAAAATCTTATGATGGCTTGAAAATACATGTTCAATCCTAATCGTGAAATTTAAAATTCTAAAATTTGTGCAGATCACATATATATACAAACACTTGAAAATCTAAAAAATAGACAGTCTAGATAACTTGTTACAATATGCATTATTCTTAAGAGTACAAATTCTTTTTTTTTTTTCTTTATATCCATATATATTGAGGTCGAGATGATCAATTGAATCTTTATAAATTACCAGCTTTACATAAACAGTTTCTTTATATAATATTAAATCTATGCCATCTAAATAAAATAGATAATATAGATTAATGTAGCCTTACTACTACAAATTGGGATGCAACCTTATATAAAAATTTTCCATTTATTTTCTCTTTATCTAGTTTTTTCCTAGACAATTTTCCGCTCCTACATGAGCATATTATCTAATGGCTCCTAGTAGTAAATGTCTTTTGAGTAAGACTCCAAGAGGAATATTTTCATGACTCCAGTTTCGAGGACACAAAGCAATCAACCTCCCAAAAAAAAAAAAAAAAAAGAAGATTGAATAGAGATCGTCCAATTTTTAAAATAATATTTAATAATATTTTCTAATATTCACATGAATTTCATATAGAAGAATTGTTCAAATATGATTGGTATAGTTCGTGTACAGTATGCCTTGATACAAATTAGTTTTTCTGCTTAAAATTTCTCTTTTGTTTTTTTGGGAATTCAATAGTCAAGCAGATTAACGGTTAACTTTTTAAAAGTATTAATTGGGGTGATGTTAGAGGCGAGAACGGAAACCACAACATGATAATTAGGGTGTGGGGTGCTACTACCACGACCTTAACCCCTTTGATGCTAAAATTTCTCTTTAGCCATGTGTAAAGTAATTTCTCTCTCTAAATATCCTTCGATGGAGGAGTGCAGAAGTTTATTAGGTCACATTTGCTTTCAAGTCTCTTGAAAGATAACTTTAATATGGTTGGGATCTTGTTCAAGGAAAAAGCCTATATAAGGTGGCAACCTTGAACTATAGAAATAAGGTGCACCTTAAAAATATAGTAAAAAAAGTTGCTTTTTAGTTGAAAAATATTTAATCAATCATCTTAATATTGAGATATATAGAAATAAAAAGGAAAAAAAAATTTCAAATTAAAAAAATAGTGCATTTTCTAACAAGTTATCAAGACCATTTATTTTTAAGATTTCCAAATGATTATAGATCTACTCGATCTATATCATGTTTGGATTTTTTAATTTTATAGCTGAAGTTTAATATAAATTTTTAAGCCATCATAAAATTTCTGTCTCCAGGCAATATTAAGAAGCACACCTTACTTCTATTGTATAAGGAGACAACCTTATATAAGACAATATTAAGAAGTACGACTTATTTCTATTGTATAAGGAGGTAACCTTATATAAAACACACTTGTAAAACTTACCCATAAGTAATTATATCAATTATTAGGACAACATGGAAGAAAGTTTAGTAAGAAGACAAGCAAATAAATAGTGTTAAAACAAAGTGAAGTAAAATATTGAATTATGTGCCACATTTACATTGTATGATTTTACATTTGATGGTCAAGGGTGACTCTGAACTATTTTGTACTAAAAGTGAATAACTATATGGCATCCGATTACACACATATGCAAACATAATCGAGATTTATTTAATAATTATCTACGAAGAAATCATTTATCTTTATAATAAGGAGGTCACAATAATTCTCACTTATTAGATGTCAAATTGGATAGTTTGGGTGAGTCACAAAGGCCGAGATTTTTTTTTTGGAATTTTGTGTCTATTTAATGACACTATTACAACTACCCATTTTGAAATTTAAAAGGCACAAATAATTATGACCTCCTTGTACAAAAAGTAAACGATTTCTTTATAGACAATCCGTTTACTGTTATTTATTTTTAATCTATATGCTTTATATTGTTGTTATTTGTTTTCAAACTATATGGCAACATCATAAGCTCAAGATAACGATGGAATGATATAGTCCATTGGAAAGTTTGTAAATGATTGTAAGAGAGATAATCTAAGGGTTTGTTTGAATGTATAAGTTATTATTAATAATTAGTATTCTTATATAATTGATAATTTTTAATAATTTAATAACTTTTCCCTCTTTAACTATTCCAACTATAGGTCATGTGCATTTTGATTGGTATTTTGAAATTAAATCAAAAGAAATAGGTGAAAATATCAATAGTTGATCTCTTATGTATATTTTGATAAATTTCCCATATATTTATTGTTTGGTGATCTTCTAAAAACGTTTTTTTTATTTTATCCGGAATAACTTGCGGTTATCTCACATAAACAACTTCTCGAGATAGATTTGCTTGTCACCTAAATAGGTCCTAAGAATAAAAACTCATTAATTGTGGACAAAATCTCCCACATAAAAGCAATCGGGACCGATCACATCTCTCATACTTCCGCTCAGCTCGAGAAGAATATGTTTTGTTAAATAAACATAATTTTACCACTATATATATTTGAAAAAGGAATGATTTCCTTGATTATTTTAAAGAGGGTGCGGTTTGCGTAAGGGGTCAACCTTAAACAGGTACTATAAGGTGCACCTTAATATCTCATTAAAATATGTATTTTCGGTGCAAAGGTTAAAAGTTTATTTTCACCCCCCTATAATGAGATTGAAAGCTCCGAAAATGGTGCAAATCTAGCAGATCTAAAAGCACTTAATTTTTTTGAAAATGGACGGTTTATATTAAATTTGGTCCCTCGGATCACAATCTATTGGTCCCTCTAGACCTTATTATCTTGGTCCCTCATGACCATATTCTCTTGATCCGTCAAGACCATATTCCCACTGGAGTTATTTGTTCCACTATGTCAAATATTGATTACATGCTCTTATAAGACGTTTAATGGCCACAAAAACCCAATAATAAGGTGTCCTAATTTAACTACTATTTTATGTATAATTTTATACATTGTTTTTGGGGGTATTCAGACCCGAAACACCTCTCATATTGTAGATCTACTGTCAATCTAGGAATATTGTTGAAAATCTATTTTAAAAAATAAGGCTGAACATATTATTATTATTATTATCATATTCATGAGCACTGTGTTTGAAGGCAATCTACAATACATGCGATATAGAATGGTAGAAAGAGATTTGTATAATATTACGAAATTCCAAAAGCAAATAAAAAGGAAAAAACCTAAAAAGTATTTTCCTAAGATCCCTATTTGTCCCATTCATGTCATAATTTGAATAACCATTATTACCTGTTTACAACATGCTACAAAAGAGAAAAAAAACAAAAGAACTCACTTCTACTTCTATGTATATGTAACCATTAATGGTTCTCATTTCATTTGGTTTCCTTCTATTCAATCAACGAGTGATTAAAAATTCTAATTAATTGCAATAGGATCCATTGAATTTTGATGAGTGAAGATTCAAGCTGATGGATCTGTTCATTTTTATCGGTGTATTAATAAAAAAAAAGGGAGGAGTTTACGAATACGAATAAGATTCAAAGTGAGTTAGGTATATTTATAGAATACGATCCAATTCTACAGAATCTAATTCCATAGAATCCAATTCTATTACGTAAAACTAAGATGTGAATGGTTTACATTATGGAACACATGTATATGTGCTATTAGAACCTGTAAATTTTTCATCCAAAACCCATCTCCAACATAAAGTTTGTGACAGCAGACTCATCATGAATAGGTGCATCCTTAGATACACCTAAACCCTATCCTTTGTAAATGAAAAGTTCAAATGAGGTATTATTGAATTGCTATCCCTTTCCAAAAATCTTAGAGATAAATTTAGAAGTTAAAATACATCTTAAGACACTCAAGATGTATTTCTGCTTTGTATTCATGATTTTATAGCTCAAAGTATAGTGCCGATCTACTGATGCTTGAAGAATTGAAATGAAGAGTAAGGTCAAAAAATATAAATTTTAGCATAGTTTAATTTAAGGTTTAAAGTTTATTATTTCTTTTTCATATTCATGATTATGGCGGTGAAGATTATCAATTTGTAAAATTATTGGTTGAAAATCCACATGTAAGAGAGTTTTCAAGGAGCGTCGCCTAGCAAACCAAACCTTTTTCAAGTCCTTTCTCCTTCTAAAATCCTTTTCAGAAATGGATTTTGGATTTCAAATTTAACAGGGCAATAACCCTAACCACTACGATCATGAATCCAAAAATAAAATTTCAAATTTAAAAATGGGATTGTGTATAATGAGACCATTTATCTTTGGTACAAGGAGGTCACAATTACTTAGAACTTATATATATCAAATTGGATATCTGGGGTGTCTCATGAAGTTCGAGAAAGTTTTTTTTGAACTTTGAGTATAATCAATAACACTATTACAACCACTTGATTTGAAATTTGATGGACAATAGCAATTGTGACATTCTTTGTATCAAAAGTAAAATAGTGCATAAAAATACACTTTTCCTTTTAAAATAGATTATTTTCAACTTTGATTCTTGACCGACAGTTTAAACTTTATAAATAAACATGACAATAAATTTTAAGGTCATCAAAACGATTTCCAGTATTGAAACGACATTCCTCGATACTATTTGAAGGTAGGCTCTAATTGGATTGTTTAGAGCCTAGGCTCTATACAAACCGCACCCTTTTTGTTTTTAAGGAGGTATATAAGTGAAATGAAAAACAAAAAATACACCATCATCAAATGCTCATAGAGATAATTTGATCCCTTTAAATTAAAAAAAAATAAGAACAAGTTTTCTATACTTTCTCAAATGTATATTAGTTATATAATTCCCTTTATCTAGCAGTCAGACCTGAATGAACGGCTGAGAAGGATCCAATTACAATGTTGTGCCTCTATGCTTTTTACTTTTAATTTTTTTCTACAATATTTCTCGACACCAAAAATTTGGGCATCCACTCCTCTCTTAAGCTTGCACCTAAAAAAAATATAAAACAAATATTCTTGATAAAGAAAAAAAGACCAAAATACGTCTAAAAGTTTTATAGATATTTTAGTCATTTTATTTTATTGAAAATATTGTTTTTATATGTTTTTTAGTTTCACCCATTGAGATGATAGCTAGTACCAAATTTCATATTTATAATTTTTATAATGAAAACTTAAAAAAAAAATACTTGAGGTGTTGGATCTAGATCAAACAAACAATCTTGATCTAAAATTAAACGGTACGATGGAGAGGAAAATATAAAGCTCCTATGCAGTACAAGTATAGGAATATTTCCCAGAAAATAATTTAACCTTTTGTGGCACGTTTGGTTTGCGCGAAAAGATTTTCTAGATACATTTTTAGAAAAAAAAATTCTCTCGATTAAATACGGGAATATTTTTACACCAATTAATTGCCAATTGGTATGGAAAGGTGTATTAAGACCGATTGGTATAAAAGTGGAAAAGTTTTTCACGTAAAAAATATTTTCTGTTTTCGCACAAAACCAAACGTGCCTTTAACGATTTTTAAAGGATCTCATCCCGATGTTTTTACGCATTTTATATTCGAGGGAAAGTGAGACGGGCGTCGTTCTTTTTTCTAGCCCAATCCATTAACGCCACGTTGGCTCTTTAGAACCGTCGATCATCGATCTTGAGCACTCCACTCTGAGAGTGTTAAGTGCTGTGCGCATTTACGGTCTGCACAGAGAACATTGTAATTTGTGTCAACTGAAAATGATTTTTCAATTAATTTATTATTAAGTTATTTAAATAATAGAAATGTTATTATTTAATGGCGTCTCGATTCATTCAGAGCATTTGTTCCCTACAATTCGGGTTTTAGGGTCGCCATTAAAGTTGCAGAAGCTCCTTTACTTGGATCATTTTGCGACTCCTCGACCTTTCAGGTCACTATTCGTGATTTTCTTTTTCATCTCCCTTTTTATGATATTTTTTTTTTCTTTTGTGTTTCTAAGTTGAAGTTCATGTGGAGAAGTGAAATTAGTTACTAATTTGGATAAGTAATTTGTGCTTTTATGACGTTCTCTTTGGTTTTGAGTTGTACTTTTGATTGTAATTAGTCAGAAAATTGGTTTACTTATTTATTTATTATGGTTTTAGTTGATAGATTATTAATTGTAATAGGGTGTACTATATCTTTTTTTTTTAAAAAACTTTCTTGCAAGTATTTCATCTGGAAAAGCACAAGCAATTACTGCAATATGATTTTCATTTGGATCAAATGATTGTTTGCCGTTCGATTAGCTTGAACTTGTATTCTTTTGTCTAATTCACTTTTTTGAAGTGATTTTCTTGTCAGCTATTCAAATTTCGAGATATTTATGGTGAAGTTTCAACACCATCCATTAAGTTTTGGATTTTCTGTTGCTTTATTTGACTCGTTCAGTACAAGGGGGAGTATAAAATTTAAAACCTGTCAGATAGTTGATGTCTTTTGCTCTAAATTTTGAAATAAAGAACTAAACAAAGTAACTGTGTAATTATGATTCTTATATATTTAGATTTTAGAGGCTCAAGAAATGATTCATGGTAGAAGAATTGGGGAAAAAAAAGAATGCAAAATAGATCCTTCTGTTGAAAAAATAAGGTTGGACCAGATAAGATGCTACAATGCTAATCATAACTGATAGAACAATCATTTTTGAAGTGGATCCTATGCCTCTTGACCGATTTGAACTTTTCACATTTTCAGTTATATGGGACCTAATAAATTTTTTTTTTTTGGATCAGTATGGTGTTAACCTCTATTTAAGGTGTAATTCCGCTGAGAAAAATAATAACCATCTGATATTTGACTATTGAAAGTAACTAAGAGGATGAATAAACTTTCCTAACATAATTTACTTTTATTAATATGTAGTTTGCTTTTTCTTTCTTCATAAGCATGATTATCCATCCTTTTGTCCAAAATGCAGTGGTGGAATTCGAAGTGGTAGACATAGGGATAGAAGAAACTTCGAAGTAGTCGAGGGTGTTAGTATAAGAGCTATTATGGCTGGAGAGAAAGGGGTGAATCCCGTTGCTAATGTTTCTTTCGGGAAGATGGTTTTTATACCAATATTAGAAGAGGGTGTTTTCCGATTTGATTGTTCTGAAGATGCAAGGAAATCAGCAAATCCAAGTCTCTCTTTTGCAGATGGTAAAATTAGAGACAATGCAATTCCAAAGGCAAACATGCCACAATACATTCCTTCTTCTGAATGCAAGAACGGCCAGCAGATCACGGTCATTGAGGTTTGTGGATATTCTCTCTATCTGTAATTTATATCGTTGTATTACTTGTTTAGGTCCTTCATAATGCTTGATTGCTAATTGTTTTTTCACTTAACCTTGTGATCTTTCGAATTTGTGAGAGTTGAGACCCTTGGATGGATAATCAAAGGAGAATTATGCAACAGTGCGATGTACTATGGAAAATGATAGTCCATTGGGGTCATGACTGTCTAATAAAATGATGGACAGCAGTGGAGTAATAGTTATTTCCTCCCATTGGGGTCATATTTTTGTTCTGTTGAGGCTCAATCTCCATCACCATCCATCATTTTATCAGATGACCATGACCCAGTGGAATGTGGTTGTTCATAATCCATTGGACTCCAACATTCCTTTTTCTGTAATTTAATGTGCTGTCATTTCTCATTATTTGGTTACTGCATATGGTGTTTCCCTTGATGTAGTTTCCTTCTGGAACTTCCTTCTATGGAACTGGTGAAGTTAGTGGAAATCTTGAGCGCACGGGAAAGAGAGTAAGCTCTTTCGGAATTTGCTCTATTACACATGACACTAATGGTTGGGTTTCATCTAAGGTGCGCCTTTGTTTCATTACAGATATTTACATGGAACACGGATGCTTGGGGTTATGGCTTGGGAACAACATCTTTATACCAATCTCATCCTTGGGTCTTTGCCCTACTTCCAAATGGGGAGGCCTTTGGAGTTCTTGCTGACACAACTAGGCGTTGTGAGGTCTTGTTTTATTGTTGGTTGCCAAAATTAGATGAGAAGTCCTAGTGCTGTTTAACATTTGATGCTTTCGCAACATCTTCTCTATATTTGAATTATTGGTGGATATCTTAATCAGATAGACCTGCAACAAGAGTCGATTATAAAATTTGTAGCTCCTGCTGTGTACCCGATCATTACATTTGGTCCATTTGCATCTCCAACTGAAGTTTTGACCTCTTTATCTGTTGCAACTGGTGAGTTGTCTTTTGTTATTAAGATCCATAAAATATGTAGCCGAATAAAGTTTTTTTTTTTTTTTGGGTTTCACTGTGGATAATTGGGTTATCTATGTTCATGGAGAAGCAATCTGCATTAGCTGGTGTAACTTGATTTATGAGCCGACTAATTTTCATGTGTTACTTTATTGTTGTTTCTGTGCATTACAGTATATCACGTAAGGGAATCATATTCATTATAGAGGGGTTTTAAATTTTTGAATCTTTCATATGATTATTGTCTAGGTAATGATTGCTTCATTTGTTGTTCCTCAGTAATTGAAGGTTTTCTTCGTTTGTTCTTGATAAATACCTTCTTGCTTTTTTCCCTTTGTTGCACATACAAGACCGAAGGCTTGCACTTTATCTTGTTTACTCGTACTGTTTGTCTGCACTTGCTGTGATGAGATGTGCTTATATTGATAAATACCTTGAATATTGTTTTTTCTATACCTTCTTGCTTTTTTCTCTTTGTTGCAAATACGAGGCCAAAGGCTTGCATCTTATCTTCCTTACTCGTACTGTTTGTCTGTGCTTGCTGTGATGAGATGTGCTTATATAGAAATTTGTTACTCATTCTAATGTCCTTTTCTTTTCATAACTTGGGCTTAGGGACTGTTTTCATGCCACCAAAATGGTCTCTTGGTTATCATCAATGCCGTTGGAGCTATGATTCAGATGCCAGAGTTCGTGAGGTAGCTATGAATGCACTTTTTTTTCCCTCTTTCCACTTTTTATTTGGAGTATTGTTTCTGGTGTTTATTATAATGAGTATATAATATTTTATATCTGATGACAAAAATGTGAGAGATCTCGTATGATCCAAGTCTTCACACTGTTTCTTCTTGTTCTTGTCAATGCATGCAGGTGACACAGACATTTAGAGAGAGGAAAATACCTTGTGATGTCATTTGGATGGACATTGACTATATGAACGGGTTTCGTTGTTTCACTTTTGATCAAGTACGCTAAACTGTAACATTCAAATTGAATTTTTGAAGATAAGTTAGACTCAACGAGTTGATTTTTATGGAAGGGGAATTAGACATCGGGGATGAGGGAAATGGTTGGTGCGATATTTATTTTAGAAGGCTCCTAAGTTAATTTTAGATGCCTAATTTTTTTTTAATTAGTTTGTACCCCGTGATCTATGTGGAAAATTATACTATATGTGCCTTCTAGAAATATGAAATTGAAATGGTGTCCCATGCCGTATACTTTCTTAACATGTGCATCACACTCTCTATAAGGCTTTACATGATAGTCAAAACCATGCGGCCAATGTGCCCTTTTCTATTCTCATTCAACTTAGTTGATTTGTGTGAGGGATGGGATTCATATCAAGTGGGATAACATAGGAAGAGGGTTTGGTGAAAGGGATATGCTGTTGTTTCTGTTTGAAACAAGAGGTAGGATGTACAATCATTTAGTCTCACTTATTAGGATGTGTGTGTGTGTATGTGTGGGTGGGGATGTGTGTGTGTGTATATGTGTGTGTGTGTGTGTGTGTGTGCGTATGTGGGTGGGTGGGAGTGCGTGTGTATGTGCGCACACCCATGTGTGTGTGGTCAGGGTGGGGGGTGCCACAACATTTGAAAAACTGTTGATGTATCTAAATTAGAAACTTCAAGGGCCTTAGCCTGTTGGTCTAGTCGTGGGCACCAGTATGTCAAGTTTCAAATCCTTGCTCACTCCCCCACCCCACCCCACCCCCAAACCCAAAAAGGAAAAATCTGTGGAGATTGTTTCATTCTATTGTCTTATGATGGTTTGCAGGGTATAAAAATACAGATAGTAAATTCTTGTAAAACTCAAAATTATGTGAGCTGTGTTATTACACATTCTGCAATTTGGGGAGGGAGAAACTTTGTTGCATTTATTTATAATGTGTTAGTGTATATATCCTCTAAGCTAATTTGTGTTGAACGAAATCGTTATTGCTATATAGTAGTAATAATTGCTGATTTCTTCTTCATGTTGTTTTTAGGAGCGGTTCCCTGATCCAAAATCTTTGGTAAATGATCTCCATGATAATGGGTTCAAAGCAATCTGGATGCTGGATCCAGGTATTAAACATGAGGAAGGTTACTTTGTATATGACAGTGGATCTGAAGGGGATGTATGGATTCTGCAAGCAGATGGGAAGCCATATGTTGGTAAATTTGTTGCTGACACTTATTTGTTATTTGTTTACGGAGATTGGCTATTGCATCCCACTGAACTTTTAGTTGCGTATTTCAGGAGAGGTGTGGCCTGGGCCTTGTGTCTTTCCCGATTATACTCAAGGGAAAACTCGTTTGTGGTGGGCCAAGCTAGTTAAAGATTTTTGTGCTAATGGTGTAGATGGAATATGGAACGATATGAATGAGCCTGCTGTATTTATGGTTAGTTCTCATGGTCATTGTCTTTATGATTGTTATATATTCTCCTAGATTTCTTTCCAGCCAAAACTAAAGATACTTTGTTGTGCAGACTCTAACCAAAACAATGCCTGAAAGCAACATACATAGAGGGGATGATGAACTTGGTGGATTGCAGAATCACTCATATTATCACAATGTAATGCATTTAACCTAGTGCTGCTATTTTTCAGTTTGTGAAATGCTATTTCTATTATTTATTTTGTTTCAACAATATCAGCTTTGTTCTTTTTCTTGTAGATAATTTACTTGGTTTTGTTTTGATATGGTTCTTATCACTTTGATGCAACGATTTAGTCACAAATACCATTACTCATTCAGTTTATGGTTATATCTTTCTTATCTTTTGGTAATGGAATGATTGACACACTAGGTCTATGGTTTGCTGATGGCAAGATCGACTTACGAAGGAATGCATTTAGCTTCTGAGAAAAGGCGTCCATTTGTTCTGACAAGAGCAGGATTTATAGGTAGTCAAAGATATGCTGCAACATGGACTGGAGATAACTTATCGACTTGGGAGCATCTACATATGAGCATCTCCATGGTTCTTTCACTAGTAAATATCCCGCCCCCTTGGCTCCATGTAGTGCGGGCCCAAAATGGTGTTACCAAATCTATTTCCTTTGGTTAATGATTCAGTTCTTTGAATGAAGGAGTCAGAAATAAGGAAGGGTATCAATTGTCTATTTTCATATCTAGAGTTTTAAAAGAATATACAATTTGCTTCTGTTGTTTCATAGGATAAGTTTGGTTTTTATTGTTATAAACTTTGTTCATGTATGATATATAATTTGCTTTTCATTTCTTCCACTTGATGGCCTGTAATTAGTATTACAATGTCTTGTGGCCACATTCTCTAATTGTTGATTTCTTGCATACTCAGGGCCTTAGTGGTCAACCACTATCTGGGCCAGATATTGGTGGATTCGCTGGAAATGCAACACCTAGGCTTTTTGGAAGATGGATGGGTTTTGGTGCTATGTTTCCATTTTGCCGTGGGCACTCAGAAACTGGAACTCTAGACCATGAACCATGGTCCTTTGGAAAGGAGGTACCTTCTTGTGTTATTTGTGTTTTTGTGTCTTTCTTTTTTAGATGCTAAATAGAAATACTTCCTGGTGAGCTCCTTCTCTAAGTTCTGGTTGCATTAAACATAACGCATGTGTATTGCAAGTGCCTATAGCTTTTATTTTTTTTTATTTTTTATTGGGGGAGAGGGTGCTGCTGTTAGCTTTGGTGTTTAATCTAAATTGCACTGAACTCTTATGGAAGTGATTAATTCTTTAACCTATGATGACCTGATGCCACAAATTTCATCTCTTTTATAGCTAGCCTTAGAATGTGTCACAAGTGTTTTTGCTGTACAACTTATGATATATTGCTAAATTTGATTTTTCTCGCATTGTTAGGATTTTTCAGAATCTTATGTTGCTTAAAGTTTCTCTTGGGAATTGGGAGGTGGTACTTTGATAGAAGTGGGCATTGTGAATCAAAATTTTATGTAATGAGTTACATTGAAAGTAGATTTTGTCAAATATCACACTAGAGATACCGGATTTAAGAGATCCATATAATTCACAAACACATTTAAATTGATTTGAGAGATAATAGATTTCAAGATATATTTCTATTTAGAAACTTTTTAACTTTTAATGAGGAAGTCCCTTTTGATGAGAGCTCAATCCATTTATACTGCCTGAATATTGAGGAACTACAGCTCTGTCATTTAATTTCTAAAATCTGTTCGACAGTACATAGTTTTCTGATTTTGTTCAGTAGTTTTTAGTCATTTGCAAAGGAAAAAATAATTTTTTCTTCATTTAGGCAAGAAATTGGGAAAGGATGTCTATTTGACCTTAAAACGCGATTCCCTACTGACTCTGTTGTTTTTTCTCAGTGTGAAGAAGTATGCCGTCTTGCATTAACTAGGCGTTATCGGTTTATCCCACATATATATACTCTTTTTTACTTTGCTCATATGAAAGGAACCCTCGTGGCAACTCCTGTATTTTTTGCTGGTATGCTCATTGATTCTGTCTCTCTATATTGTATATGACCTCTGTGAGTCCTTGGTGAAAACAATTTATTTATCACCTGGTATTAGAAGGTTTCATTTACCTGTACAGATCCAAAAGATGCAAAGTTGAGGAAAGTTGAGAATGCATTCCTATTGGGCTCCCTTTTGGTGTATGCAAGGTACTTTACACAAACTCCCAGAATCTTTGTTGAGTGTACTGCAACTTTGATCTTTATCTGCGCTTTAATCTAACCTTTTTCGAACCAATGCTTAAGCTTTGGTGATTATTTAGTTCCAATTTAACTTATGAGATGGATTTAATATAACACTTAGGGTCTTTTTTAGGCAAATTTTGTTGTCGGACTTCACAGTTTCACAAAGATAAGCTAATTAAGTGTCACATTTTCACTGCAAATTTCATTCACAGTTGCATAGTTAAGATTCGCATCGCTTGATGCGTTTTTAGAACAAAGATAAAAGAATATATATAAACATTAATATATTTTGTGTCGTTCTGCTTACATTTGTGTTAGTATTGTTTCCAGCACTGCTCCTGAAAAGAGATCGAATGCTTCAGGGGATATTTTGCCTGCGGGTATTTGGTTGCGTTTTGATTTTGATGACCAACATCCTGTAAATATTCGTAACCATCTATGTTTGATTCATTCTTTAAAGTTTTCATCCTTTAGCTGCCTTTGTATCATTCTCTTATTGGCAACTCTTTTTATGTGAAATGAAACAGGATCTACCTACACTATATTTGCAAGGAGGATCAATTGTTCCTGTGGGTCCAGTTCTTCAGCATGTTGGTGAAGCAAAGCCGACGGATAACGTCATACTCATGGTTGCCTTAGATGAACATGGTAAGTCTGTTTGTTCTTTTTGATGTATACATGGCAGTTGAATAATTTCATCCAATGTTTTGGAAATAGCCTTGGACAAGGTACTAGGCCCTTGACTGAGGCGGGTAACTTGGCCAAGTCTGAGTGGACTTTGCAAAGTTATGTACAACCCAATAAAGTGAAACAAAGAAAAAAATAAAATAAAAATAAAAATGCAAATAGTTAAAAATTAAAAAGTAAAAGAGTCAATAGAATGCATTAGAAGACTAAAAAGATGAAAAAAATCTAATCCAAGATGGATCATTGTAAATGTCAAATTAGATCCTAAATATTTTTTAAAATTTATAAAAAAGGGAAAAAATATGAAAGTTCCCAAATCATCTTAAAACAACTAAAATCATCGAAAAACTAATTACAATAGTGGTGTTTTCCCAAATTTAACTAATTACAATAGTGGTGTTTTCCCAAATTTTGTAATTTTCCTATTTTTATATATATATTTTTCTTCCTGCATAAAGGTGGGGTGAGTTGCCGTGGAACTTGCCCCAACTCGGCCTCGGCGTCTTGGCCAAGTCTGAGGGGACTCAGCTTAGTCTTGTAACACTGATTTCATCAATGGAAGATGGTTTTTGAACTTGTCTAATATTCACTTATTGGTGAAGTGGTATCAGTATTGAAGTATTTTAGTACTTTATTCTAAGGTTCACCATAGGAGTGAAGAAATATTTCTCTAGGTCCTTTAATTTGTAAGTGAAGTTCAACAATGACTTAAATCTGGTAGAGAATTTTTGTTTCCATTAGATTTAACTTCCTTTTACTGATGGCCTGTTGATCCGAAACTCTTTTTTTTTTTTTAAATTGTACATATTTTTTTCCAATGAGAAAGAGAGATGTATCTTAGGGAGATTTTGTCTGGGAAATGGAAGGAGGCAGGACTTCAATGATGAAAACCACACAATATTATTATGTCTGAAAACATTAGTTTATTATGAAAGTTGTTCCCATTTTCAGTTAGCTTCAGACTTCATAAGTCTTCTTCCCTCCTTTTTTGCCGAATGAAACAATTATACACAATGATTTGGAACTTGTCTCTCGGCCAAGGGACTTGGCCCTTGGCCAACGTGAGTTACTTGGTCGAGTTACGCTGGCTGCCCTATGTAACATAACCCTCCTCCTTTAACCAGGCTTGGGATGGACATGATTAACCTTAAAAACTTCAAATAAGATTCATAAAGTATAGAAAAATGGATCTAAAAAATTGTGATCCATAATTGCAAACATTTTTAACAATTTAAAAAAAGAAAATTATGCCAAAAAAAAACTCACCAATATTTACCAAAAAATCCAAATTATATATTAAAAATTTATAGAACAATCCCATAGTTTTTACATTTTTGGGTGAATTTTTTTATGGACCCCACATACAACTCAGGCTATGGGCGAGTCCAAGTTACTCACCCAAGTTCACTTGGCCTTGCCCAAGGCCGAGTTGACTTGGGTGAGTCCCGTGACACTTTTTTTATTTTCCTTGACTTTGTATTTTTTATTTAATTTTCCTGGAAAATTTTCCGCTAAATAGAGAGTTTTTGAAATGTAAAATTTGGTCCCATTATGTACATATAACTATAAACCTGATTGCGGACTCAACTTTTTTACAGGAAAAGCAAGAGGTATTCTATTTGAGGATGACGGTGATGGATATGGATTTCGACGTGGGGAATATATCTTGACCTATTATGAAGCTCAACTTTCTTCTGGAATTGTTTCCATTAAAGTTTCCAAAACAGAAGGATCATCTCCACGGCCAAGACGCAGCCTTCATGTGCAATTATTGCTTGGTGAAGGTGCTAAGGTACAATATGCATGTAAAGTTTTTGGTTGCTATGTATTTGTTTCGATCTATGGAATTCATTGGGGGACATCTTTTATTATGCTTAACATTTATTGAAATATTTCTGCACAAAAGATTGATGCTTGGGGTCTGGATGGGGAGGAAGTACGGATTGTCATGCCTTCTTCTGATGAAGTTTCCAAATTAGTATCTGCAAGTGCAAATCAATATAAAAGCCTTATGGGTATGTTTCTATATCTAACTGTGATTCAAATTGTCTTTAATATTCTGTATATCCTTTCCACTCTTTTTAGGTTATCTATGTCACTTTTTGTAGCAATAATTCTATCAACACTTCAATACAAAAATAATAATGCTTGACTACACGAAATTGTTTCTTAAACTCACTTACATGGTCATCTGCCCATTGTTGATACTCCTCGGTCTCCAAACAATCTTTACTTCATAAGTATATTTCTTTCTTGAGAACGTTCCTTGGCTGGTATGTTTGTATTAGTAACAAAATATGATGTCCAGATAATGAAAATTGAAGGGTGTTTTGTCATGGGTCTGCAATACTTCTGGTTAATGATAGTTTGTATAGTAGTAAGCTAAACCACAATGTTGATATTGGGGAGTTCCTTTAATCTGCAACAGGGAACTTAATCTTTTTGTGTTTGCTTGAGTTTTCATCTTAACCTACGGACACTGAAGTATTGTTACTTAAACATGATCTAAATTCAATTGCAGAAAATTCCCAATGTATTCCTGATGTAGAGAAGTACTCTGATCACAAGGGAGTAGAACTTTCAAGGACTCCTGTTGAATTGAATAGTGGGGAATGGGAACTAAAGATAGTACCTTGGATAGGGGGCCGGATGATATCTATGTCACATGCTCCAACTGGTAAGATTTCTTATCCATGTATAAGCTCAGAGTAGGTTTTCACGATTCAAGTATAATTGAGAAAGCCCAGTTTATTTAGTAATTGGGACCTGCAAACTCCCGTTTTTCAGTTGCTTCTGTGGCAGGGGTTTATATGATTTTGTTTAGAGTCATTATCTTCATACACATTCACTAGCTGCAGAGGCGTGTTGGTTGGTGCAATTAAAATGCATGAAGTTCTTTCTAATGCATCAAATTTATCATGTCATATGGCTGAAGACAAAGTTGCTTTCCTTTAGCTTGGGACTTACTACTTCAGGAGAACTTCAAATGGCAGTTAGCAGTTAGTTACCGATCCTTGTGTTTCTAGTCCATATATTGAAGCTGACTTAATTTCCTTGGTTTTAGGCACTCAATGGCTTCACAGCAGGATCGAGATCGAAGGCTATGAGGAGTACAGTGGAGTTGAATTCCATTCTGCTGGTTGCTCTGAAGAATACACAGTTACAGAGTGAGTTCTCCATATCAGAATGGTCACTTTTGCTTGCATATTTCACCCCTGGGATATAGCTCATAGGGTGGTGGTGCTCTAGAACAGCCACTGCAATGGATATTGCCTAATCTAGATAACCATGGTAACCAAGGATTCTTATTAGTGAAGAACCTTGCATTGCTTCTTGCATGAATTAGTGGACACTGTTGTAGGGAGAGTCTCTGTCCATGAAAATTGAATTTGAATCACCGAAGCTTTATTTCATTCTATTTAGGCTCAATAACTACAAGTGATTTTGGATCTGAATCACCAGATTTTTGCATAAAACATGATCATAGAATTGTTACAATTTCTGGTCATTGATCTTAAATGCTATTTCTTTATTCTTCAATAACATGAAACCATTTAGGTTGCTAGCATGAAATTTATCATAACTGCATTTTCACTTTATAAACAAAAATTATTTCCATTGAATCATGGTATATTTCCCAAAAGAAAAAATTATTTAATCTCGGTAACATGTTGTATTCTGATGAGGATGCAGGAGGAAGCTAGAGCAGTCTGGGGAGGAGTCGTCTCTTGCTTTAGAAGGTGATATTGGAGGTGGATTAGTTCTACAACGTTGTTTTCGGATTCCAAGAGAAAATCCCAAAGTTTTCACGATTGAGTCTGCCATTGTTGCACGTAGTATTGGTGCTGGTTCAGGTGGATTCTCAAGGTATGGCATCTCACTCATTATCACAAATAAGTATTGATCCTCAAGGATTGGCATCACACATACAAATAAGAAATTGGGTGACTTTTTCTTCTTGGTGAGTTTGAAATATGCTAGGAAGAAAAAACAAAGAGAGAAATTTCTGGATTTTCTCATTTTCTTCAATCATATTCAAATGAGAAAGAAATAAAATAAAGCCTGTTTGAGATACTGTTCAAGAATCTCTGTTATGATGCATGAAAGGTTACTTCTTTGAGTTGAATTCTTGTATCATTAAACATATGGATACTAACAGTTCATAATTGGTTTTTATTGAAGGCTGGTTTGCTTGAGGGTGCACCCAATGTTTACAATCTTGCATCCAACAGAGGTTTGTGTTGCCTTCACTTCCATTGATGGAGTAACGTGTGAAATTAAGCCAGAATCTGGAGAACAGATGCTAGAGGGGAGCAGCCTGCCTAATGGTAAGTTTGAAACTTAATATATGCAGGCACACTTCCATGTTAAAAGTTTGGGGAATATTTGGGTTTGTTGGAAAAATGCCTGAGAGGGCGGATTTACTTGAAGCCAAAGAATGGAAGATACACCGCTATAATTTCATGTTACCCTCATCCTAGAAAAGTCATCTATATCGTTTGAATTCACCAGGGTTTTGAAAACTGCCAAGCCGACTCAGAATCACCTGATTCGGCTAGGGAGGACTGGTGGGGTATCGGGCTGTTTCTCGCCCGTACTCAGGCAAGATGCCCAGTACACCTATTTTCAGGTAAAAATAAAATGTGAAATAACAGCCTCTATTTTTTTGACAATACTTCATCTTCCACTATTTTAACCCCCATGGATTGATGTTGAAACAAATTGATCCCTCTTAGCCCCCCAAAAATCATTCGTTTGATCAGAAAATCATTCTACAGAAAAATGCTAAACTAAAAGTATATGGTCTCAATTCTTTTTTTCTTTTCCAGGTGAGTGGATGCTGGTGGACAAGTGTGCAGGATTGTGTTTGGTTAACAGGTTCAATATAAAGGAGGTCGCAAAGTGTCTGATCCATTGGGGGACTGGCACCTGTAACTTGGAGCTCTGGACTGATGAGAGGCCAGTTTCTAAGGACACTCCTTTGCAAATTTCCCATGAGTACGAAGTGAAAGCATTACAAGACCAATGAATTCCCTGGAAATGAATCACTTTGTTCTCTTTTTATATTCGAAACAAAAATTATTGGTAAATTGGGCATTTAGGAGTACAAGATTTAGGAAAGAACTTCAGTAAATTATCTATTTGTCTATGTTCAACACTGCCCAACAATGAGGTCCCTCAGCAAATATGCAAATTCCCTCTCCATGCAAATTCCATAACATGGTTGAACATCACCTCATGAGCATTGTGCATAACTGAGTACCTGTACACTCGGTTGGCACTTTGCACCTTACAAACGGCCTAAATGACCTTGAGTGTCCTAAAGAAATTTTTAATGCTCAAATGTCCTGAAAACAGTTCTGCGTCTGCTCTCTATTACCAAGTATTTTGGGCAAGACTTGTGGTAAGACTACAAACCAACCCAGTCGGTCATTTTAATGGACATCTTTTGTGCAGTAAAGTAATGGGATTCACGTGATGCTATAATTGTCACACATTCTAACCATCAACAGCCTCAATCCTTATTTTTATAGGCATTTTAAAGTTGCAGTTCCTTGACGGTCATGTTATTTTAATTAGACAGTGTAGATTTAATATGTATTTTAAGACATCGTAAAAAAGTGACACACTTTACAAGATAGTACTAAATTTATAGATAACCATAACGTTAAGGTTGTAATGTTTATGTCAGCCGCAATGGAGTATGATAGTGTTTACTTATTTTCTCATTAATTTCAACTACGTACAAACCACCCCATTCTAAACCATTTAGAATAGGGTGGGGATAATCATTTACTCGGACTTAATTTTTCTCATTCATAACAACTACGTACAAACCACCCCATTCTAAACGATTTACAATGGGCATGGTGGGAATAATCATTTACTCCAACTTATTTTTCTCATTCATTTCAGCTACATACAAACCACCCCATTATAAATGATTTAGAACAGGGTGGGGATAATCTCTCTCTTCTAAATCAGGATGGGGATAATCTCACTACCCTAAATCAGGGTGGGGATAATCTCTCTCTCTCGCTAAAATATGGTAGGGGTGCCATCTAGTCTTATACTTTAATGATCAAAGATTTCATGTCAATTGAACACGGAAGAGTAGAATGCTTCCTCAAAATTCCAATGTATAATGCAACTGCCACTTTCTCCTAATCCAATCTGAAAACTGGTTTCCATAGATAAATAAGATGCACCAGGGAAGCGTGGCATTTGTAATATTTGGTTATAAAGATGAAAAAACAACCCAGTGCTTGCAGGCATCATCATATCATTGCCAGTTGCCGGCAAACCGGATGCATACTTGTACCTTTCCAATGCACTCAGGCATAACATAGGTATTTTGTATGGAATTGATAGCCCATACAGGTAAAAAAATTTAATTGTAAGAAAATTACTCTCTCTGGGCTATGGGGCTGTTTCATTTGATCCAAGAGGTCCTGTCGTAGCTGATCCATGTTGCACTCTCGTCATCTTGCACTCCAACCCTGGACAGCGGAAAGACCCTCCTGTTTCTATGTTGAGAGAGTAAACAACATACGTCAATAAGTACTCGATCGATCTTTGTGAGGTACCATATGCTGGATTAAAGACCTCGAGGTCAGAGGGTCAGTGGCGACTCTATGGTGGTCTTCTCGAGCACCAAAGCATATCAATAACCTAAAATGTTGCCTTGGACCCAATAATCAATAGTGACCAATATAATCAATAAATAGAAGAAGGAATTGATTAAATAAAAAATTTAATTCACATCTTGGCCAAAATTCAGTTTTAGCATACAAAAGCAACCTGCAATGCATCTGCCTTGAACAAAGCCGGAAAAATAATTAGCTCATGTTGTTTTAACACCAGCATCCCCTTACACTCTCGCAATGTCCATAGTCCACAATATATTTTTAGAATACAAAACCAACCTGCCATGCATCTGCCTCGAACACGGCCGGGAAAATAAGTAGCTCAATATTGTTGTTTCACAAGTATCCCCTTCTCACGCTCTCATGCCCATTGTCCGTCTGGTAGTAACCTGCATGTCTTCACGAGACTAATAATTGGCTTTATGTGGCAATCAACAATCTACCGATACTCAGATCCCTCTCTTCTCTATCTCGCTCTCCCTCTCCCTCTTTATCTTTTAAGAGAAGAAAAAGAAATGGGCAAAAATAACACAGGCAGCTGGAATTTGTGTTTGAGATTGCTTGGGTACTTGCTCCATCATCCCCTTCAGTCATGTGGAAGGACTTGAGATGAGTGCCACAAGGGAGAATGTACCATAATTCAATGGAAAATATGTTATTCAGTATTCCGAAGGACAGTCTCCAATGAGGAAGTGACGAAAAAGATGCTCCACTAATGTATAACCATATTTGTTTGGTATAATAATCTTTCCCATTAAGCACATTTGAAGAGAATTCAAATTTACCTAAACCAAGCATCAGATGACACTGGAAAATTGACATGATTTATGTTGAAAATTATGGCTGCTTCTGTTACAGATGCATTAAAATAGCGAGCTTCAGCTTACCTAGTTGACACAACTTCAAAGGGTTCTTCAAAACAGTAACTGTATCTTGTCTATTAGGAGCCACAACCACATGGGCGATGCTATAAGAATCACGCTTTTCCATTGCAAAATTCCACTCTTTAACGGATATCTCAAAGAAGTCTTTCCTCCTAGAACTGGTGGACTTCACTTCTATGTACTCCTTATTGCCTGTTTCTCCTAGTGTTACAACCACATCATAAGGCAAACCAGACTCATTCCCCTGGTTCACCCATTTAACTGCTCCTGAACCATATTTCTTAATAAAGTACGTGTATGCTATGACTTCACCCAGTCTGCCTGTTAACAGCTGTTGACGCTTGTTGGGGGTACCCACTCGAAGCTGCTCTCGTGGAGCCAAAGTGGAGGCTGAACCATCGATGTGTTCCCCATAGGAAGTGCTTTCTTTGTCATTAGGCTCATTATGAGCTTCTTTTAATGGAGTTTCTTCCTCCGAAGTTTCATTTGATGGGATTTCATCTTTTGGAGAGTTTGGATGCTCCAAGGCTAGAGCTGTTGAGGCAGCAGAATCATCTTCCACCATAAAATCGTCATCGATCTCAATCGGGATGGCATCGACCATTGGATCTTCAGCAAAAGCGTTCTCATCTTGTTCGATAGAATCATCCAGAGACTCACCAAGAGGCTTGACATGAGCCCATCTAACATGTTTTCTCTTCTTGTGGATTTTCGAAGCGGCTTTCCAATCAGCTGGGGGCCAACAGGAAGTGATGCCCGGTTTTGGTTTTGAGTTTGAGGGGCACTCATCCATGATGGGCGGCAAGCCAGATAATGGGGAAGATGTCTTTGGGCGTGATAGTTGTGGGGTGACCCAAACAACTTCTTCACTTGGGAGCTTTGGGACCTTCTGATTCTTGATAATGAAAGATTCTATCTGCTCTTCAGCTGAATCCCATTCAGACATGGTCGCTATCATGTGAAGGAAGTTTGCAAGGTGAAGGTCCGTTCGCCCACCAAAGAAAACGCGAGATAGCTCCAGGAAAATAGAGTGGTTGTTGGCATCTTGAGTGAGGTATAAGGTGGTTCCCTGTAATCACAAGAAATAGAGGGCTAATGAGAACTAAGGACATCAAATATGGAGATTACTACTTACGCAGAAGCATTGAGACTCGAGAGTAGGCATAGGAGTATGTGGTGTAACATAACCACTCTTTGGTAACACATCTCTAGACCATTCAACTTGTCATGCATCGTGTCACAAGTCTCACGACCATGGAGGGATGAGAAAGACTCTGGTTGGAAAAACTGAAAAACCTGAACAGTAATGCAACGTAGGGATGAGAAAGACTTGTCATGCATAATGTCACGTCTAATGACCATGGAGGGATGAGAAAGACTTGTCATGCATAATGTCACGTCTAATGACCATGCAGGGATGAGAAAGACCCCGGTTGGAAAAACTGAAAAGCCAGAACAGTAATGCAATGTAGGGATGAGAAAGACTTGTCATGCATCATGTCACGTCTCATGACCATGGAGGGATGAGAAAGACTCTGGTTGGAAAAACTGAAAAAACAGAACAGTAATGCAATGTACTTGTTATCAAGCAATTTTGTGCTCAGACTACCGTAACACACACAAACACTTGTGGGTAGGCTTGGGTTTCAAACTCATAATTCAGAGTATGATGATTTGATAATTGTTGCAACAATGAAAGTTACAAAACCATCAAAAAATTATATTTCATTTTCACATAACAACATTCCAACAATCAGTATGGGTAAAACCATCTCCAATACAAACGATACATGTGTTGAGCACATTTTGGAATGTCTGACACAAAAGAAGTGTCCAATATGCATTTTCTGACACTACAGACAATGCTAGATGCGGCTTAGGCATATCTGCAATTTGTTTTACACAAATTATATGTCGAACATGTCTCTTGATGTGCCAAAAATTGAAACATTTGTCCAAATATTGGAATTGTGTCCAAGTATATTTACAAATGTCCAATATTTGGACGTGTGTTTATCATTTAGACACGTGTGTCCAGAACTCTGGAGAGGTCTGCGCTGTTGACACACAGATTTGAACACAACTTTTCATTTATTAAGTTAATTAAATTACAGAATAATCACAAATTAATTATATATAAATATGTATACAGGCATATGTATGGACATGTTATACTGGACTTTGGTATATAAGTAGGTGAGAAAGATGCTTGGAATCCGAGTGAGACACGAATTCTTTGTATCAGTGTCATTGTGACATAGATTACAATCCAGTTTACACATTACAGCAAGCCTGCATTTTCACAAGATGACACCAAATGAAAAGTTAGAATTTTGGGATTAGAAGCACTAGTTGATCTTGCTCCATGAGTTGTTGCATGGTTGGTATGTTATGCCATTAGAACCATAGGGGAGCCCAATTAAAAAAGAAAAAAGAAAAAAGAAAAACAGAAAGAGAGCAGAAAATGGGGGGAGAAAAGGTAGTAGATCTATTAGAAGTGTGCGTGTAATTATCCTGAGATTTGATGCCGCAGAAACAATAGCATAATCAAAGGGATGAGCACAGACAAAGAAATCATGTCTTGGGATAATCAGGCAAGATTTCCTTTCAAAGGCAGCTTGTGGACAAGCTGAGCTGGGGGGGCATCAGCAAAATACATGGACCATGTGGATATCACTGAAAACAATAGGGGTACAGGGACCATTTGAAGCATGTGAAGATACAGACATTTCGACATTTACATCTCGTTCGGCTACTAAAATATGCACATTTCTATCATTTGGAAGCAAGCCCATACCTCTAATAAGCAGCTGCACTGATATCGATTCCTCGAGGCAATATAACAGCTTTTCACCATCCGCTTGTAAAATAGTTTTTCAACTCCGATAACTTGCAGTTGATTCAAGCTCTCAAATATGGAAATCTTCAAATGCAGATAGGTCTCAGGATGCAGTTCATAAATATACCTCTGGACGTAAGGAATAATCCAGTTCACCAGTAAAGCTTTCTCTTCACATTCTGAAACACCGTAAAATTTTGCCTCACGAGATACTACCTGCAAATAAGCACGTATAAGAAGCTGTAAATGTATATTTGATAAACATACAATTGAAAGACCAATTCATCATGTTTACAGCAGGCAAGAACCAAAAGCTGCTAGATCATGTATTGGACTTTTGGGAAAGTATGCCACAAACTCTGTTCCAGTCCTACAACTAAACAACATTACAGTATTCATCAACTAGCTGTGTGCTACACACAGTTTTGGTCCAAATTGATCATTGCAAAAAAAATCTGAAAAAGCATTTAATTCAAAGCCAGTAGTAGTGAAATCTAACAACATAAACCTCACACCAAACTAAAAGCTAGTAACTTTACCTCTGAAAGAACAGGGACCCCAATGGTTCCCATTAAAGCTGCAAGCTTCACTTGAAATGTTCCCTTTCCCTCATCAAGACCACCAAAATGCACGAAGTCAAGGTTACTAGCACTCTTGAATTGCTTTCGTAATTCTTCATCATCACACCAACAAATGACGCCAAAATCTTGGTGTAGAGAAACCCATCTATCTAGTATAGTCGGCAATATGGTAAAATCTGTCTTACAAAGGCAGTCTTTGAAGTGTGAAATTTCCTGGGACTCCACTAATCCAGATTGAATATCGTCAGCCAACTTTAGAAATACTTGGGAGACCTGTACAAAGAAAAAGAACAGATAATTCATACCAGATAATATATTGCACTCATCTTGTCAATTCAATAAAAGAAAGGGACGAAACTCAACCTTTCAATAGTTACATAAAATCTGCTATCACTAAAATGTTCTTGGCAATGTTTTTGAGAAAGTAGACAGAACCAACCATTATTGAGAAAATACCATGTTTGGGAACTGGGCACCCAGATTGATGGTTACAGTGGTGGCGAGTTCCGTTTACAAGTTAGTTACCACTATTACACTAGTACTTACTATTTCTTGTTACGTCTTACGACCTTACCCTAACCCCTACCCTAAACCAAAAA